AGAGCTGTTGTCTTGACCTTTCCTCTAGGTCCATACAACTCGACCGGTATAATCTTTAAGTATGCACATGCCAGTGCATTCACTGTATTAACGGTTGTAATCTGAGCCTCTTTACCCCCCCTCGTCCCCTTGCGGCGAGGTATTTTCATTGGGGTATCGATGTAGCATCCGATGATGTGACATTTTACATCCCTCTACACCACATTTTTTCGCTTTGCACTCTAATCTCCTATGGTTAGGTGACAAACATTGGAAACATACTTTCGCTTTTTTGACTGCGTCCCATTTCTCGCGAATATTCATGTCCTTAAACTTGTAACAACTCACTATAGAGTGCTCCTTGTTGCATATAACACACTTATGTGTTACCCGACTTACAGGCTTGTCCTGGGTTGTCATAACCACTTGTCGGTTGTGCCCTTTATTATTTCGGCGTTCTAGACGCTCGCTCGTATTACTTCGGCGCATATAGCGCTCGCTCTTGGCACAGCTGCGTACACATCCCTTTGCAGTGTGTACAGTTTGCTTCCTGAATTCAGGACGCTTCCGTTTTTCAGGCGCATTTTCATTGCTTAAGGACGTTCCAAATTGTTCACTCAATAAATTTAAAAACTTGGCCATCTTCTGTAACTCTGGCTCCAAAGGATACTGAGCTCGATATTCAAACCATTTAAATTTAATCATAGTTCCGAGTTTCTCCACTATGCGGCTCACTAACTCCGGTGAGTATAAATACTGTGGTTGATTCAACGCTTGTATTGTGGCAACCACGTTCGTAATACGACTTGCAAAAGATCCTATATTCCGGCAATCTTCTGCCAATCTTGGCATACGCTTTACATTCTCGATTTCGGCTAGAATGAGCATCTCAACCCTACCGAATCTTCTCTCGAGAGCGTTCATTATTTCTTCAGGTTCACACAAAGTAAACAACAATGACTTTACCGCCTCTTTAGCGGTGCCCTTTAATGCCCTCCTAAGGCGTGCGACATTCTGCACCCCTGAAAATTGGCTTCTTGTGTCTTCAAACACCGTTTTGAAAATTATCCATTCACCCGGGTCTCCATCGAACACCGGTAATTCCTGGAGGAAATGAAGCTGGGAAGACTTATCTTTACCCGCTATCTTTATTGCCCTCACAATCGCTTCGGTCAATTCTGACACCTCACTTGCGTGTGTTTTCTGTGCATTTCCTTGGTTGCGCTCGATCTCCGCCCCTTTGCGGCGTGATCCTTTACACGCTTCCTTATCAGTAATATCGGGTTGCGTTACACTAACCGGCGCGCTCATTATGGTCTGCTGAACCCAACTCCTTACGAAAGGTTCCACCTGAGTATTCCGCTCTTCATCATCCTCACTCGAGTCGATCTCCTCTTCTCGGTTGAGTCGTGCCAACTCCAATTGAGACTTGCTAAGGCAGCAGCTGCCTGTGCTCGTTCGAGCTCTGAGCGTTCGAATTTAATCCGCGCCTCTAATTCGGCTTTCAGCCTCGCCGATCGCGATGACCTACTACCTCTCTGTGACCCTTTGTCACTAGTGTGCCCGATTACTGTCCTTGACGATGCCGCTTCTTCGGTCCTTTGACCTACTTTTTCGACCACTTCACTCCTGGATATAACGGATTGTTGTACGGTGCTGGCCTGCGTACCACTGGTGTCCGAACTGTTGCTTGTCGTTGCCATGGACGTCCCTGAGTCCCACGTGCATGTGGACGTGTCGGTGGTGGCTCCACTTGAAGGACTGCGTCAAAATGGGGCACATTTGACGCAGTAGCTGTGGTCGCTCCAGATGGTTCCGCTTCTTTAGTTTTTCTTGAGAGCCCTGTCCTTGTCCTGCTCCCCTTCGCTTCTCCCTGTCTGGTCTTGTGCTTTCTTCATCTTGCAGGAAGGTGATTGTTGGCCTACGGTCCCTACAACCCCTTACCTACAACCCTTCTACACCCCAACCTAACACCACTACCCCTCCCCCCCCCCTTATCTCCCAACCCTACAACCCTACTACCACCCTAACAGCCCTATCAGCCCTATCAATCCTGAACGGGGCCTACCGAGGTGAACCGTCCAGGGATGGAGTCGTGCAGGAATGGAATGGAGGAAAGGTTTAGGAACTGTCCCGCCAAGGAATATGACGAAACAGTCGAGCAGTAGTGCAAGCGCAGTCTCGCTCGAGAGAACTGCTCCACCCGAAGGTGTTGTGCCAGAGCCCGACCGTTTGGCACCGTTAGGTAGTCGGGATGTATGCTGTGCTCGCCGCCCAGTTGCCGGTGACGCCTCGTCCAAGCGCCCTCCTCCGGCCGCGATGCAGTCAGGTGCCCACGCGCACCCTCACCTGGCAGCAGCAGCGGTGGATGCTTCTTCTTGCACCCTGATGATTCAACAGGAAATGCCGGACACGGTCGTCCGACAGGAAATGCCAGACACGGTCGTCCGACAGGAAATGGCCAGACACGGTCGTCCGACAGGAAAAATGCCAAGCCCTGCTTGGCCACGATGAGCGCCTTCACAAGGCACCTGCGCCTGGCTGCGATACGTGCCCCATGGGAGCACACGCCCCAAGCCGCAATCCCGGTTTTCTTTCTTCCGGTAGTTCCAGGTCCAGTCCTTCTGTGCTGATGACCTGGTCTTCTGGCCTTTGGTCCTATTGATTCAGCTCAAACCTCCGGCTTCCTTTGGTTGCTGATCTTCACTCGGCTCCGAAGGTCTTCTTTCTCCACAACCAGCAGTCCACAGCTGGTTCCTTGATCCAGCTGGCGGGGTTCGGGTGGTCCTTTTAATCCGGCTCGAAGGACCAATTGAAAAGGAACCCAGACGGACGTTAAACTAAGAAACAGAAGGGAGGAATCGAGGCTTCTCTCGATCCGGCCTCCTATAACGCCTACGTTGGGTTCGGGAACAACGTATGTGATCTCCGCAACGGAGTAACACACAAGGGCGATAACCTCTTCCTTTTTAGCGAGTAGGTTCAGACGGGGATTACGGGTCTTCCGAAGTCGTCCTGGTCCCAACGCCTTAATTCTTCGATGTGGACTGTATAATTTTGAGGGATGAATTTCTTGGGAATAAAACAGCAATTATCTTCAAACCGTTCCGTGAGAGAGTAATTACTTTTCCCTATCACTTCCCTACACTTTTTCTTTCTTCTTCTTATTGACTGCTGGTCTTGCACTTTTCCCGAAGTTTCTCCGAACTTCCCCCGAAGGATTCCCGAACCAATTGCAATAAAACTCATTTACTAAGCTACTCCAGAGCTATACGCGAAAGTGAGCCGCGCCATTCGCGCGCTTGGGCAACTCAATTACATGAATTTGTTCTATTATTCTCTCACGTTTTACTTAATTACTTTATTTGCATAAGTCATACATCAACATAATTTACCTGTATAGATAGCACAAAACAATATCTACACTACGATATACATTACATTTTCATATCACGAAAAACCTATTATTTATTTAACAAATATGCCTATTTTACTCACAAGTTCGAAGTCGAAATTTCTTAAATATTTAACATAGAAAGTTAAAACAATGTTTTCCACTTGAAATTATACATATGTTAACTAATACAATAGTTTAATTTACATTTTCTCTATTTATTTCACTATTAAAACACTTTTAAATTTCTTATATAAAACTATCATTATTTCACTTATACACAGGAATTTTCTCATAAAAATAACACAGAATTCACCTTTTTAGCACGTACAATCAACCTGAAATGTTTTACAAGTCATTTTTACATAAATTGCTGAAATTACAAATATTTAAATTTTTACATATTTGGCCTCCTAAGTACGTGGCTAGCGTGCGTCTATGAACTCACACTATTTGAACAACTAACTTTTGCACGGCTCTCGGCTATTAGAAAAAATGAAAGTCTGATATACACCAATTTTAACAATATTGGGTGAATAAATGCACCTACACAATTTTCAAACTGTAGGAAACTATTTCTAATCAGATTCTTATCAGTTATCATGTTTCTTATCAGATAACAATATAAGTGAATGTTCTCATAAATCAATTATGGCAAATAGGCATTTATTTTCATACAAAACATTTATAAGATCATCAAACTTATATAAGACAATACTTATGCAATTAATTTCCGTTAATTCTATTTATGCACAGAGTGATCATCTCGACCGCGGAACAAATCCGATCTCTAACTTCACTTTAATATTCCTTTGAATTTACATCATTGGAAAGATGATTTCAACCGGGGAAACAATCCGGTAACATAATTTATATCTTAAATTCCTTATGAATTTATTAAGCGATATTACTTAGGAAAACAAATAAACTAGTCCGGCCTGGGAGTCGAACCCAAGACCTTCATATCATTAATTCGACATTCTTTAAGATTTAACTAAGCATTTTTTTTATCAGAATCTTGCTATTGGACAATATGCCTTTGAGAAGTTATTCGTCATCGGTTGACTTAATAAACTGAAATATTCTAATAGGCGCGTCGCCAACAACTAGTATTATATACATAGTAGACAGTTCTTTTAATGTAGGAAATATGCTGCTGTGACGTAAACTTTATGTCTTGGAAACAACGATCAAACCCTTAAGATCTCTTTTTCAAACACAATCAAAATTCTTAGGATCTAGTAACAACAAGTTGGACATATATAGTGTTGTTGTTATATAAGTGACCGTGTAATGGCAATGTGTAAATATCCACTATCCCATATCATCCCGTTGATATCGCAAGAGAGACAGAGGCAAAGAAACTAGGGGATGGAGAGCAGCGTCTTCCTTATAGCACAAAGAAATTTAAAAAAACTGCCTCTGCCACTGCCAACCCGCCCGCTCAGCGTGGCAACTATGTCAAAATATTTCCCCTGTAAGGTAATTTATGGGGGAGGCTTTTGTTCAGCGTTGTCCTTTTGATAGACTGTTACGGTAACTATCACGAACGAAACATTAAAATGACGGTTTCCGATTTTTTCGAAAATTTATAGTAACAATAATACTATGCGAACGAATTTAATACCTTATCATTCACTGGAGCTGATCTAAAGCCGGTGTGACAACGGCACTGATAAGAGCCCGGTGTATTGATGCAATCAGCATTTTGTGAACAAACTGGCTGCAAACAAAACAGGAAGTGTAAAATTTTGTTTCATGCAAACTCACGACACCTTTCACATCGTCCGAAACTTTGACGGTACACCAATGTGCAATTTCTTCTTCACTGGCTATTTATACGGAGTTTCAAGAAACTTGAAAATGCACGTGTGATTCTCCTGGTGCTACAGTTATTCATGGACTGCAGTCGACACTCACTCTCCCTCTTCTACAAAAAATTTAATCCGCCTCTTACATGGCAACACAGAACAGGCTTTCATAATTACTTTACAGGGTTATTTCCTGACAAACATAGTAGAACCATTCTGCAGCTACAATATGGTCGTAGTACGAATGGGTCGGCTTGACCAGGGAAGGACTATGCTGTCACAGAATACCAGCGTGAAAAAGCAACATAATGCAGCTATGTTTTTTATTGTAGAGAACAAAAGACCTTTTTTACTGGAAACGAGGCATTCCATCTTAGTCTTCAGAAGTCACAACGCATCTGCATTTTGATGCGTAAATGTAGATGTCTATAGGCCACAGCATTCACTTACCATCAGATTTGCTGTATACTCGTTTGTCATCCTTATTCTATAAAAATAAAATGTTTGCACGTCTTATTATAAAAATCGGTAACTTATCGCCAACACTATATCTACCACAATCTATTTTCACCGAGTATATATAGAACAGTAAATCTTCAGTTATAATTTGAAAAACTATCAAAACATTTCCACCAAAACACATACAATGTTTGCAATATTTTGATAGACATGACACGCTAACACAATCTACTCTACTATCTTCTACGTAGTTAATATTATTTGATAGAATACCACGATAGTAACAATGAAGATATTTTTGAAGAATTCACATTCTGTAAAATTGGATCATTCTCTTGTATCCTACTCACAATGCCACCGGTGATTGCGCACTCATCAACATCTTCACATTCGTGATCACCAACAAGCCTGTGCCCGCGGGGACAGCTACACGTGTAACCTCCAGGTAAGTTTGTACACAACTGCATGTAACCACATTTCGCCTCACCAGTAAGACATTCGTCGATGTCTGTAAATTAAGAATATAGAATACTAAGGATAACTGCACATCGCTTCGATGACGGGGATCACCCGTATTTTTTATCAAGTTAATGTGTAGTGTAGCCTAGTAATAAACGGAAAAAGATAGAACTATTCATTTACAAAATTTACGTATAGAAAAATATAACCATTACAGCCTATCAAATGTCCACTGTTGAACAAAGGCCTCCCCCATAGTTTGTCTTTCAGGGGGGATATTTGCCGTAGTTGCCATTCTTGGCAGGCAGATAGACATTTTTTTAAAGTTGTTATTAGGAAGAAGTTGCTGCCAATCACCTGGATTGTTTCCCTCTGCTGTCTCTTAGGAAAACCATACGGGACGATATGTGGTAATGATTCTTATATTATCACCACAGTCAACGGAAAAATAAAATAATTAAAAATTTTGTACAACCGACTTCAATATAAATAAAATGCGAACATCATCAATGTAATCAAAGTCGATTAAATACGCATTATTAAGGATAACTCAAAAACTACTGGTCAGATCCTGATCAAATTTATATGGAACCAAATTATAATCCTATACCTTTAAACGAGCAATTCTTATATATATATATATATATATATATATATATATATAATCGGAATCTCGGAAACGGCTCCAACGATTTTCATAAAATTTAGTGTCCAGAGAGTTTCGGGGGCAATAAATCGATCTAGCTAGGATTTATTTTTAGAAAATGTCCCTTTGTCCGTGTTTTCAGGCAATAAAAAAATTGCTACAATATAAGAAGGTAAATTTTGACAGGTTACGAACGATCGTAATAGCTGAGATGGGATGTTGTTCGGGCGTGATATTGGTGTTCCGTGGTTCGCGTCCCGTCTTGAGTCCGACTTTTTTCCTTATTTTTTTCAAGTTCCCTTCTTTTGTGAGAAAATCTATTATTTCGAGCCCTTTTTTTTAGTATTTTTTTTAAAAATACGAAAATTTTAATTAATCTAATTGCACTCATGATTTTTTATTCAAATAACCAGTTCAGTTTTTTCTATTATGTCAATAAGATCAAAAACTATTATTCATGTAATTTGTATATAAATGTAACTTAAAAAATCGGTCATCCGGGTACTAATAATCATATGAGAAGTGTTGCTTCTCATCTCATTTCAAATAAAATCATCACAATCAATATACCCTGAAAAAAGTTGATTAAAACTTCCTAGTTACAATTGAGATGCAGTCAACAATAGGTAGGCATGTGAATAGTGACTGAACATCAAAACTGATCATAGTTTCGTTGTCAGCGAAACGTAGGTCTTTTATCTCACTCACAAAATGGTATGAATCCTTTGTGTGTGCTCTGGTATGTCCTCTCAGTGGTGACAATATTTTTTCTAAGTTTTGTGCCAGCTTATAAGTTGGTGAATCGATCTGGCTCACCATGGGACGTATTGGAGTGTTTGGTTTGTGTATCTTCGGTAACCCATACAACCTCGGCGGTTTGGTACATGATGGTATTAGCGAATTCACGTCGAGGTTTAATTTTTCGGAGTATTTCTTTATTAAATCCCTTGTTGTTTTAAGCGTGTTAATTGTGGGATCTGTTTTGACCTTTTTATACGTAATTTCGTCCGACAAAAGTTGTTGTATTTTAAAATTATATTCCGACGTGTCCATTATTATCGTAGCACTTCCTTTATCCGCGTGGAGAAAAGCTTCGGGTCCCGCGCCTACGTCATAGTGAACGAGTGAAGCCGGCCACAGTCGAGCGCGCGCCTGCTGTACTACTGTATGTCAGAGGAGTCACAGACCAGATTGGCTACATCTTGAAGCGAACGCCCTTTAAAACATATTACAAGCCGCCGAAGAAGATTAGTAAATTTTTACCATCCATCAAATGTAATATTCCTCTACAAGATGCAGGAGTGTACAAGTTAGGTTGTGAATGTGGTCTCTCTTATAGAGGTCAAACAAAAAGATCGATAAAAACCCGTGTGAAAGAACATATAGCTGACGTGAAGCACCGACGCTCCGGGAAGTCTACAGTCTGTGAACATGTTCAAGATCGTCCCCACCATTACATCAGATTTGATAAACCACAAATACTCGCAAAAGAAGAAAAGGATGATACGGGAGCTATGTTCTAGTCTAGATTATACCCTCTCGCAAAAGAAGACCGACCAAGGATGATACGGGAGGCTATTGAAATTAAAAAACATCCTAATTTCGATTAAAAATAATAAAGTTAAATAAACGCGATAGAATCCGTAAATTTAGTTTTATTCAATGTGTAGTGTTCGCGTAAATTTAAGAAATCATTACATAATTTTAAATTAAAAAAGTCTTAATAATTTTCACACACATTGAAGCTCTTACCTTGACAAGAATTGTCATCTCCAAGTCTATAGCCCCATGGACACTTTATCACGGAGCCCCTCTCGCCCAGCTGAGTGATCTTCGGATCCACGTTTTTATTACCGTTAGTACCATGATTGACTATTTCATTGGGATCAACTGGAGGGTACGCTGGGGACAAAATACTAAGTTAGTACAACGCTGGGGACAAAATACTAAGTTACCGTAATTATGCTGTATTCTTTAAATATGAAATAGTCGTAGTGGTATTTGAACATAATTATTCAATTTAAGTAATAAAGTTTTATAAATTGTTCATCATATTATAATATAGGTTTTTATGTAATAACAGCCTAGATTGATACTAACAAATAGCGATCAATGGCGCAATCCGTGAATTCTTCATCAGGTTTCACTTAATATTTTTACTATGTATTTAAATATAAATCGTTTTATAATATAGATAATTATATCAAGTTATTCATTAAGTTTAAGGATATAATAAATAATCATACACTTATCGATCTTATTTTTTTGATAAACCCGATGTTTTACAAAAAGTCGCTAAAATGGCTTGTACGTGATTTCAATACCTCTAAAATATTATTTAAATCATATTTTGAAAGAATAACATACGTATTTTATTTTCTTATTTCAATGGCTATTCATAAAATTTAAAATATTTGAAGTGCTACTGTCGAGTAAGTCATAAATTAAGTTTTATTGACGGCGGGTCGAACTTGAGAAACACAGTCCTGATTACTGGCAAACTAAGCTACCCTTTTTTTGTACGCAAGCAATCGAGCGGGTAATAAAAACAAGAAGCGATTGAGTTGGCGTAGAGAAACAGGAATAAATTATACTTACAGTATTAGTGATTACAAACATGTCGGTAGAGAGCGTACGACGTGCGAGGAGGTGGGGTGAAATTACAATTTGAGCTGAGGTAGTATTATACGCCCTTAAGCCAGCCTTTAATTACCACGTAGCAAAATTCAGTTATGAAAAAATCTAAGCTCTCACAGAATACAAGCGTAAAATAGCAGTTCAATGATGATGTGTTTTCGTATTGTGAGTGTGGAGAACCAGACTCTTATTACTGGATAAGAGCCATTCCATCCTAGTCCTTAGAGGTGACAATGCATCTGTAGTTTTATTCTTAATCGAGAATACATGTTGACTATGTCAATGGACCACAACATCCACTTACTATCAGGCGGACTGTGTGCTTGTTTGTCACTATTGTTCTATATAAAATATATACTTATATATTTATTATAATATTATTATTAGGTTATTAAAATTTCAAATTGCTTGGTAAAATTCTTATCCATTGTAAATAATTCATCGTCATTTTAAAATGCGTACTGAAGTGAGAATACTTACAAGGTTCATTTCCGTATCCAGGTGGGAACTGCCCGTTGTTTCTAAGAGGAACACACCGATGTCTGACTTCATCCAGTTTCCAATTAGGCGGACACTCACAGCGGTATCCACCGTCTGTATTTACGCAGATCTCCACAGCTGCGCAATTCGCTTGTCCATTTGTACATTCGTTTATATCTACATGAAATAAAATATTTAATGATGCCCATAGTTTAAAAAATACTTCAATACTCAATTTGAGTCTAATCTTTAGCTTTATTATCAACCTACATTACTGAACATTACTGATTATTACTACATTAATGAACATTACTGACTATCACTACATTACTGAACATTACTACGTAACTGATACATTACTATATTACTGAACATTACTACATAACTGATACATTACTACATTATTAAACATTACTACATTACTGAACATTACTACACAACTGATACATTAATACATTACTTAACATTACTACATAACTGATACATGACTACATTACTGAACATTGATAACCGATACTCTAATTTCCAGCCTAGCTACCTATTTCGCGCTGCTCGTCATCGCCTGTATGAACATTTCACATGTGTAATATAACCAAAAAAAATGGCTATACTACGATTTATTCGATCTATCTGACCCCATGAAAACATTTTATCATAATTTAAGGTCCGAGAAGTAGCGATGTAAGTATATATACCACCTTATATCATCCCGTGGCTGTCGTAAGAGGTAACAGAGGGAAACAAACAAGGATATGTACAGCAGAACTTTCCAATGACTACTAAAATATCAAAAAGTGTGGTTGCACTGCAAATCATATGGTGTGGTTGCGCAATATCACTCCTTCTAAGAAAATTATAAGAGAAAGTCGATATCTTCAGCAGTAAACATTTGATAAGCTGTATCGGTTTGGCCCGAGCGAGGACCATACGGCGGAGCGTGCAGCGTAGCGGCGCAATCAGTATTTATACAGGGTGTCCGGTTTCCGATGTCCGATACTTTAAGGGGTTAAAATACAATTAATTTTATCGACAAATCAGGGATCAATGATTTTTTTTTCGGCATCAATAAAAAAATGGCTGCACTTTAAAAAAAATTGTTGGCGAAGCATAGATGCTTGTATTAATTTAACAATATCTACCCAAGTAGAAGACTCTCAAAAACAAAATTGGTCTCAAATGTTAGTTAATAGTGTAGACAATAAATCTAGATTCAAAATATTATATTTTAATTTTTCAGTATTAGTAAAAAACATTTTTGAAAAAATAAACTAGACAACAAATTGATGTTGTTTTTCAGATTCTTAGCTTTAAAAAAACCATCGTTTTAACCAATTTTTTACTTATTTTTATTATAATAAAGGATATTTTCTATAAATGCACATTTAAATCTTAACTCTGAGTTAGATAGTTTAGGAGCTATGATAATTTGAATGTAACTGTTCAAAGTGCCTCTACCCCGATATTAGATAACTAAACAACTCTAATTTAAAAATTCTTTGTGAATTACTGTTACTTTTTGTTTATTACAATGAACGAGTACTCAAGCCAGCATATCGCTGTAACAGTTCAACAACAAAACAAAAACGTAACAAAGTCTAACAACAAACAATAATTATGTACAGTAAGTAGATTTACTTAAAACCAGGAATGTTATCACAACGCAGAGCGAGGGACGACTGCTCGACGGCACAAGCGCACACTGCACCCTTTTTTACCTGGAGACAGCCGTTATTCTGTCTCGTTCGCACTGTTGTGCACAGCGTTTTTTACCTGCTCACACAAAGGATGCTATTGTGCTTGCTTACGATTCCTTGAATTAATGAAGAATTTTATCTTACTCACTGGAATGGGTGTTTAGTTATCTAATATCGGGGTAGAGGCACTTTGAACAGTTACATTCAAATTATCATAGCTCCTAAACTATCTAACTCAGAGTTAAGATTTAAATGTGTATTTATAGCAAATATCCTGCATTATAATAAAAACGAGTAAAAAAAATTGGTTAACACGATGGTTTTTTTTAAAGCTAAGAATCTGAAAAACAACATCAATTTGTTGTCTAATTTATTTTTTCAAAAAATGTTTTTTACTAATACTGAAAAATTAAAAAATAATATTTTGAATCTAGATTTATTGTCTACACTATTAACTAACATTTGAGACCAATTTTGTTTTTGAAAGTCTTTTACTTGGGTAGATATTGTTAAATTAATACAAGCATCTATGCTTCGCCAACAATTTTTTTAAAGTGCTGCCATTTTTTTATTGATGGCGAAAAAAAATCATTGATCCCTGATTTGTCGATAAAATTAATTGTATTTTAACCCCTTAAAGTATCCGACATCGGAAACCGGACACATTGTATAGCTGGTTCACACACATCGATTTTATTCAATGAGCTACCAAATCGAATGCGACTTGAACCGTCTGAACAGACTTTAAATCAAATTGAAGCAACAAAATCGATTCAATAAAAAACTTTTGTTAAGTTTGGTTAAACTCATAGAATACAAAAATTTATATATAATAGAACGAGGGAGTGGGCGGAGCCCGTATAGGCACTAACATGTCAATTCACACCTATAAATGTCAACGCAATCAAGCATTTCCAATTTTCGTGTCAAGCGTCGCTGTATGCAAATTATTTAAAAAATGGCAAATTGTGCAATATTACGTGTCAAAAATTGCAGGAAATGAAATTTAAATAAAGGTGATATATCCTACAACCAGTAAGTCGAAACTATTTATATTTTGTGAATACTAGAAATAAAAATAAAGAAATATTTGTGTCAAATCAGTCGGTCAATCGGATTTGTAGTAGTGATAACTGATAATACGACGTAATTGCTTGCATGTGTACTCCCGACGACGCCGATCCTCGTACAAAATAAGGTTGACAGCCATTCTATGGTGTATTATAGTGTTCTATGTTTGTATTCGATTTGACCCGCTGAACTTGTCGTGTTGTCAAATCAAATTAGTAATAAGGTAATATGGTCACCTTAAGCTTTGCCATCATAAAAAACAAAAACTCAGAGAAGGATAGAGACAAAAACACATAATCGTATACTATAACTAATATATTAAGAAAATAAAAAGCAAACAAGCTTTGGCAATAATTAGGAACACTTCGAATAATCTTTCTAAAAATGCTTACTACACTACACCATACTATAATCGACTAAAATATTTACTATAATATCAACTGTCAAAATGGCGTCGATAAAGCAGCGCCTTTTTGACTCATTATTATTTGATTGACTCATGAAGAGCTATCGTATCATAAAGCAATCTATGCAAACAGGCTGTAGTTTTTAAGTTACAAAAAAAGTGACCATATTAACTGGATGACCGTATTACCCTCACGTACTATACTATAAACCCGATCACGAATCCATAACTAAAGTGTCTTTCGGGATTTTCTTTTAACTATTTTTCTGTTAATTATTTCGTGTAACACTCACTTAATACCCTCCCAGTGTGATATCTTAGTTATGGAGCATTAAATGTTATTCAATAAACTTTTGTTTAATTTATAGAATCAGGCGTTACATTACATTACATTACAGCCCTTCACAAGTCCACTGATGAACATAGGCCTCCCCCAAGTAATGCCACAAAGCACGGTCCTGAGCCACCTGCATCCATCGACTTCCTGCATGTCTTACCAGGTCGTCACTCCATCTAGTGGGGGGTCGCCCTACCTACGCCTACTGGTACGAGGCTGCCACTCGAGAACCTTTCTTCCCCATCGGTTATCGGTTATTCGAGCTATATGGCCGGCCCATTGCCACTTCATTATATTAATTCGTTGAGCTATGTCGGTCACTCTGGTTTTACTGCAGATACTCGTATGTTCAGAATCTGGCATTACGTTGCGGAAATTCATTACAATATTAAAGTTAGTAAAAATTAATTTGCTTGCATCCGCTAAACAGAATACCAGCCTAAAATAGCAGCTTAATGCTGCTGTGTTTCGTATGGTGAGGGTAGAGAACCGGTGACCCGTTTTACTGGAATCGAGGCATTACGTCTTAGTCCTCAGGAGTGTTTTTATTCTTAATTGAGGTTAAATGTACAGATGTCTATGGGCCACAGCATTCACTTACCATCAGGTGGACTATGTGCTCGTTTGTCTTCCTTCTTCTATATAAAAAATGAAATAAAAGGATACCTCGTGTAGAGGTGAAACATGTGTCGCATTAGAATCGGTGGTGTGCCTTTCCTTGTGTAGTGGTATTCGGTGAGTGGTACTGGGATTAGTAGAACGGGGATAGTGGACGCAAATGAGGGGGGGATGCACTTAAAACTAGGTAAGACACATAATTTTATTTCATTTAGCTGATGTACGCAAAGTAATTTTTACAAACTTTACAACTTTTGTTTGTTTGCTGTAAATTTTTTCATGAACCTGCATTTGTGTTGTACGTTCAATTTTGTCGTAAAATTATTCAAAAGGATCATGCTGCTTATCTCCTGTTTCGGTTTCCCTCTGTTGTCTCTAACGACTAATGGATGATATGGTGCAGCGAATTTTTTTATGACACCATTATCATAGTAAAAAACAGAGTAGTAGGATAACTCCCGCGCCGCGCAAGACTTAAATGCCTACTGTTGCAGGGTGTTCACTGTATTTTTGTTTAACAGCTAAGTCTCATTTATTTTATAATTGTTTATAATATTTACAAACATAATACACGCGTCATATATCATCATATTAATTGTTAATCATTTCTTTAGTTTCCTCTCAAAGAATCAATGTTTATAAAAAAAATTTCGGCTTTACATAACAACAAATGCGAAATACTAAAATACGAGTAAATTAACACTGAGCTTATGGTGTCAGCTCTGATTTAATATTTAAAATTAATTTTATGTGATGTGATATGATAATGTAATTAAAAGCTAATTTACTTAAACAAATCCATATATTAAATATTTTACAAAAACAAAAAATAAAACGGAAAACACTGCTAGCAAAATTTTTTGAAAGTCAATCAAGTCTCAAGCAAAGGTGATTGCGGAACGCGGTCATATTTACATACTGTGGCGGCGGTTAGCGTCCGAGAATCGGCCAACCTTTCCGAACTTTCACTTACTAAGTGTCGTTGTGTGTGTGCTTTGGCTCGTGCGTCTCCGCTAGGAGTAAAATTATTCAGTGCTGGTGCGTGCGAATCCGTACTGTCACGTGCCAGGCACATATTAGAGGCGTTTGGTACATTTGTTAGAAGGAAGCCTACTATTCTGTTTTTACTATGCCATTACACAGAAAACTCAATAATACAAAAACTATGGTTGCTAACACGCATGCCAAGCGTGGCAACTATGTAAAATATCCCCTAGAGTTGTTTTGCAGCGGACTTTAATGAGCTTTAATGAATGTATGCAATAAAAAGCAATTGGGACGGGTCATAAAATGACTTACATTTGAACAATTTAATGACAGTAAGTTAAGTAAAAGGTTACGTAAATGTTTTTCAAACGACGACATTGTTTTATATTCTACACTTTAAGCATTTAAAGCAAGTAATCTGTACATGCAACTAAATAAAATTGAAGTGTTTATTTGTAATGTCAAAATAACAGCTTTTTACTAAATGTATATAAAAGTATAACAAAAACACAAATTTTTAAATGTTTGTCTATCTGTTTGTTTGTTCCGGCTAGTCTTTAAAACGGCCGGACCGATTTAGACAAGACTTTCACTGACAGATAGCTGATGTTATAAGGAGTAACTTAGGCTACAATTTTTAGAAAATGAATTAGGATTTCGCGCAGCGGCCACCATTGAAGATATATTTTTTATATTAAACATTGTATTGTGTAAGACGAATAAATCATTAATTTATTCATTCATTCATCTGGTATTGCAATGGAGATTATGGTATATTTTTCAAACTTTATATATATTACATTCGTACAAGTAATTGTAAAAAAAACAGTATGGGAAATACCTTCACAACGCGATGTTTTTGAGTTATAATGGAAGCCCATTTCACAAATATTCCTCGGCCTAAATGGTCTTGTGGTGAATTTTCGGTAGTCTGGGTAGCCCCAAAAGAAACCTTAAAAGAAATTATAGTAACTTATACATCTATATTAAAGTCTATGTGCAATTTATAGTATGTTTATTAAAAGTCTCCAGGAATGAAAATAAATAATGAAATGACAAGTTAAAATCTAGTATTATTATGATTTCTTAAATTTACGAGAACTACAAATTGAATAAAACCACTTATGAGGATTTTATCGCGTTTAATTAAGTTAATTTAATTAAACGTGGTAAAATCCGTATAAGTGGTTTTATTCAATCAAGTATTATTATGTATTGTTTTAATAATAACACTTGATTTCAAAATATACATTTATGACTTGACTACCTCGTTGGTCTAGTGGTTGTAAACGTGGTTACTGATCATGAGGTCCTGGTTTCGAATTTTGGGTCGGACCAAAATTATTTATTAGGTTTTTCAGGCAAGACATTCTCAGGAGCAGCCTGGAGTCTGGAAGTTGTTTCAACCCTGGTCCAGGATCCTCTCTCCGGTCGTGTCAGATTACCGCCCCATCGGAGTATGAGAGTGAGGGAATAGAGTGCACCTGTGCTTGCGCATACACTTGGGCATTATAAACCTGTTTTATGCAGATGACTAGTCTCCGTCGAAAATGGCCGCTGTGACCAAAATTCTGTGTGGATAACATTATTATTATACATTATTTTTTATTATATGAATGTGAAATTAAAGGTCTCCGTTTGAGTGCTAATAAAACTAAGGTTCTGGTACTTGAAAAGGACGAAGAGAGAACGAAATGTGAAATATGGGTAAATCAGGAATGTCTAGAACAGGTAAATGAAATTGTATACTTGGGGAGTGCTTTCAGCCGGGATGGAAGATGTGATTTAGATGTGTATAGGCGTGTCGCTGCCGGAAACAAAGTCAATGGTGCCCTAAATGCATTAGTAAGAAGGCAAGGGTGGTGAAGAGTGCACGCCTTGCAATACATAACGCAGTGTTGGTACCGACTTTGTTATATGGCAGCGAACCTGGGTATGTCAGAAGAAGCATAAAAGCAAGTTGAATGTAGTGGAGATGCGATCTCTTCGTAAAATGTGTGGCGTTACCATAGCCGACCGAAAGCGAAACGAAGAAATTCGCAATATGGCAGGATTGAAAGATGACCTTATCACAAAAATTGATAGGGGCGTACTCCAATGGTTTGGGCACGTTGAACGAATGAGTGAAGACCGAATGGTGAAGAAAATATATAGAGCGAAAGTAAATATTAAAAGGTGTCGAGGTAGACCGAGACTAACTTTCGAAGACCATGTGAGCAAATTGCTCGAAGAGGGGAGGGTCAAGAGTACTCGGATACCTAGACGTGCATGTCTAAAGAGCGAGTAGCGAAAGAGTTATGTAAGGATCGTGACACTTGGCGATCTGTTCTCTCTGGCTACCCCGTTAGGGATTGTGCGTGATGATAAATATAAAAAAAAATTATTATTATAAAAAACTAAAGCTTAAATTTTAAAATTATCATACAGCCCTACTCCCGCGTTAGAACGTCAAGAACGTTGGCTGCGTTACCTCCCCGATTAGCTATACTTAGTAATTGAGCGAGAAAAAAACAGCCCTCTTATCACCATCGGCGACGATAAGTCCCTAATACATTTCCCTTAGAAACTTCACCGCACATAGCTCCCCAGATCGATAGTTTCTACAGAAAATGGCACATAATATGTAGTCATCTCTCAGAGACTCATTCCTGCGCCACTTGTGCCTCATACTGCGCATAATAAAACATTATGTTTTTGGTTTAACCCATCAGGAAGTACTGCGTCCACTGTAGTATATCAGAGACAGTATAGTTTCTTACTTTCTTCTCGCACATCATTAGCAAAACAAAGAAATAAACGTTCAATACAGACTTACTTCGTTCGGTTGATGGTGAAGGTGGTGGTGGAGGAGGAGGTGGTGTAGTTGTAGTAGTGGTGGTCGTTGAAGATGATGATGTTGTTATTAATGCACAAGCCCCAGAAACAAGGTCTCTTCGAAATCCAGCCGCGCAATCACACAGATATCCGCCCATCGTATTACGGCAAACTTCAGTAAGGCCCGAGCAGATGTGGCGGTTCGTCGCGCATTCGTCGATATCTAAAAAAATAAAATTAAGTATATCAAAAGGAAATTTATACTACCACTATTATATATATATACATATATATATATATATATATATATATAAAGCATGAATTACGAGCTAATTCAGTTACCAGAGTTAAAACGTTATTAAGATATTTTGAATTATACGTATTTGCTAAATTACTATTTCTACATAATCATTCAACCTTTCACAAATCAAAAGCTGAACTTAAGTCTTCCCCAAGACATGGAGCTATTTGCATCCATTGACTCCATGCATGTCTTACCAGGTCGTCACTACACTTCGGTAACTAGTACGAGGCGGCCATTGGAGAACCTTTCTTAATTACTAATTATTGCAGACTTAATTAGATATTTTACTTACCAAAACATGCGCCGTATTCATCGCTTTCAAACCCTATTTGACAATCAGCTGGTTTACCGTTAATTTTAGTCCACTCATTTGTCGGCAGATCTTTAGTGTCTACGATGACGGAACCATCTGAAGCTTTCTCACCTCTAATCGTTGCTGTTTCTTTCCCTACGTCAACATAAACGACATGAGGTGATACTGAAGGAGCTCGTTCAGCTTCCGTAACTGGTTTGTACGTGGTTTCCGTTTCTCTTGGATTGTAAGGCTCAGGTGGTGGACTAGTTGATTCAACTGGCTTCTGATTGTAAGGGTAAACGTCATATGCTGGCCCGGGCTGTGTATTGCTATGGATAATATTTGGGATTGCTGGTCTTTCATCATCAGGAATATACGATATCTCGTATAGATCTGATTCAGTAGGTTTTGAAGATTCTGTAGTCATTAGAACATTAGTTTCTCTTGACTTTGTCCGCTCTGTTGATATATCAATACTGATGCTGGGTTCTAAAATTGTTGGATTTAAGAAATCCTTGTGATTTTCTGATAATGTTGTTTCTTTATTTATATCTGGTGGCAGTGTAGGTTCTGGAAATGCTGGTTCTGGTTTATTTTGGTAAATTGCATAAATACTATTATTGTAAAGACTATCGTCGGGTATCAGCTCTGTTGATAATTCATTATTTTTTTCTGTTCCTTCTTTTTGCTGTACTGTAGTAGGTATTATTAATGGTTTTTGACTAGTTGTAGGTTTGGGGGTTTCACTAGTTGTTGTAGGTTTAATTGTCGTAGTTGTAGTTGCAACCTGTTCTGGTGTAGTTTCAGGATGAGGAACCGATTGTGAACTGGTCACAATGCCTTCGGCTACCTCCTCCCTGAAATTAAATTTATATTAGATTTAAAATAATGATATACAATACTATACTATAAAATAATATATAATACACTATAAAATAATGATATATAAATCTATGTAAAGAAAATTAAGATACCTATAAGTAATTTTATAATAAATAATATAGATTATAGATTTAATCACTCTAATCTGCTCTCTGCCTTAATCGACTTTAACAAAGTCCTGCAAAATCCCTTAGTACTATAACTAACACAATATAATGATTATGTAATGGATAACCGAACTTCATGACTATAGCTTACTTAGTAATTTAATACATTTAGTCATTTTAAGCTCGTATATTTAGTTCTTGTCGCTCTTACTCTGAATCATAATATTCGTATTCATATTCCGGTACAGCCGTCGTCGTAGTGGTCTTGCGCCTTACGCAGCGGAAGGAGCCTGGTATATTATGGCACTGGTAATCCGGCCCAGCGCGTGCACAGTTATGTGTTCCCAATGCGCATTCATCAATATCTGAAAGTATAACGATTTTTTAAATAGTGTCGTTTACTTAAAAAAACGTGTGCGGTTCACGCGCTGAGTATCAAGGGGAGGTTATTTGTAGGGTTTATTTATTTTAATATTGTTCTAAAAATATTTAACATTTTATTATATTGATATAACATTGCATATTATACAGACTCCAAGTTTTCAATTTCTTCATCGTAAATACTTACAGCCAATATTATGCTGATATAATCTAATATTATATTATATTAGGAGCTATGGTAGCTCAGATAGTTAGCGCTCGCTGTAAATTTCACAGTACGCGAGCAAACTGGATTCGATCAACCCTGGCACCAATGAAATTGTTAATCGCAATTTTAAGTGATTTACCACGTACTCGGCAGTGAACTAAAATATCGTGAGGAAACCTGCATATGAAAGAAAGCTGCATATGCTGAGAAATAAGAAAACATAATATTTCGAAGAAATATGAAGTACACCAACACTTATTGCAGAAGCATATCGGACAATTCCTTGCCATAAAACCCTCTAAGAAACTCTCTAAAATGCTATCTACCGACATGTTCGTAATCACTAACACTGTAAGTAGATAGGTCGTTATATACTTATTTTATTAGGTTTATCACATTTATGCCTGTTTCTTTACGCCAACCCGCCAACGCTTCTTATTTTTATTACGGTTATATCCAATTTTTAGTGTACGTCGTCCTGTTACATAATGTGTATTCCGATCGTAAACGTCACAGCTTTCCCGTTCGAAAGCCGAAGTGGGACTGAGCGGAGTATCGCGCGGCAGGGAACAAACTTCAGGACGCCAATAGTTTAGGTAGTTTCTTTTTACAGAGAAAATAATGGCAATTAAAAAATAAATAAAAAACACAAGCCTTGCTCTACAGTTAGTTGAGTTAGTATGCAAAGTTTCATGATATAATTTAAAGTATTTTGTGGATATTAGCGGATTATTCTTCTTTTGGAGGTAACTTTGGATTTAATTTCTATCGAGAAAATTTTACGGAATCGAGTTTTCGTCTAGATAGTACTTAACATTAATCTTCAACTTTAACATATATTTATTTCAAAATTAATGCTGCAATATTTTCGGAATAACGAAGGATCTTGCTAAGCCATTTGAGGTAATGAGGTCCCTTAAAAAGTTCCGTTTTAAATAAAATGTTTTCACACACAAAACTTTGCTGTTTTTAATGTTTACACTAATTTTTTTTTAATTACTCTACTTTTAGGAATGTATGTAGTTTAGTTTATCGATTTCGAATATAATTAATATAAAAAATAATAGCTTTATATTTTTCTAACAAATTAACTTCCCCGCCCTGAAATCTGTCAAATATTTCACTTCATTCCATAGTGGCGGCACCCTGGTGGCAGAAAAATTCGTGAAAAAAGTCGACAAAAGACAACAAAAGAGCCTCATTGAGTGGGCATCAAAGTCGATTCAGCTGTCACCAAATAAGCCAAATCAGAGTGTTTCATTAC